ATTGCTTATTTCTTTTCTAACTGAGGACCTTTTCCTCACGAAGTTGAGGGATAACCCACGACTGAGATGAATAGGGAATGTTCGAAGCGTCTTCTTGAAACCCTGAAAGTTCCACTCATGGATTTAATAAAGATGACTTAATCAAGATGAACGTGTAGACACTGTAGAATTTAGCATTCTCTGCATTTTCTTTCAGTTCATTAGCGTTCCTTCGGGAATACGTTTTGTCTTTCTTTCCCGCGTTCGGTATAATTTACATGTTAATATTCTAGCTTTTTTGTTTCATCGTTGATTTCATCGAGAGAATATCTTGTCTTAAGAGAACATCTGGTTTAGAGTTGCCTTTTCGCGGCCTACAGCGCCGACACAATTTCAAACCTCTCCCTCCGATCGAGCGTTCGTAATCATTGCTGTAAGCGGCCACGAAAAGACCGGCCTTTTGGCAGTAACAGGCACCTGGGGCCCGTTTCTCGAAAGTCCCGCTAACTTAACGGGCCCTTAAAGCTGTTCTGTTTTCATTCAAGATGGGAATTTCAAAAGTTTTGAAAATGATACAATAAAACTATCAGCTAAAGAAACAAAAAGGACTGGTTTGGATGTCATAACCTGCTTTCCCATCTTTTAAGTTTTTATTTTAAAAGATGGTTTCGGGCCCGTTAAGTTACCGGGACTTTCGAGAAACGGGCCCCAGGAACCTGTGACTCAAAAGCGCGTTGTTGCTATGGTGATATCAAAATGGATTTTTTGTATTTCTGTTTCGGTAACAAAAGTGTGGTTTTCTATGTCTACTCAGAAAGTTATTCTTCTACTTATCTTAGCTATTTATTTCAGTCTCACAGTTGTGGTGTATATCAGAATATACACCACGGTACAACGGCAAAAGAGTCAGATTCATTCCGTGCAAGTTCAAGAAGTCACTCAGTCGAGTGATATAGCAAATTTCTCGTTTTTTTAACTTGTTGTTTGCCTTACGTTATTTGCAAAGTTGCAGTTAGAATCAGTGGCTCCATTGTTGCTTTAAAAAGCTTTCATCTTTTCTCAGTAACTATGGTATTTTTTAATTCATCTCTGAACCTTTTAATTTACTGTTGGAAGATGACGCATCCGACACGCTATCACTGTCATACTGAGGGACATTTCTTGGACCGAAACCGCAGTTAGGTCTCTTGTTACATAAACATTTCCTTAGTGCTAGTGATTTTACAAAGCTCTTCATCACGTGAATGAATGCTTCCTTTAAATTGAGAAAAAATAGGTTTGCCCAGAGCTTACAACTAACGAAAGAATAGAAAATGCGAGTTCAAGGTATGTGTGCGATTTTACGTAAACAAGTAAACTGATCAGGCTCGTCGAACTTGATATTATTATAACCGACTCAAATACGGCGCGTCCTCCTAAAATAATTGTTAAATATTATGGGAAAGGTTTCGAGTTGTCATCGTGGTGAGTACACTTGTATAAAAATTATCATCGTTTTTCCCGTGAGGCTCAAGCGAAAGTTTGTGCCGTTGGAGCTCATGCAAGCTAGTTACGGTAATCATTCCACAAATATCCGCAGGTGTTTCCGGCCGAGATTCGCAGGAGTGTTTTGCATTCATTTTGGGTTCTTTTGAAGGCAGAAATAATTGGGTAATCATGACTTTTACTCGAATTTTACAATGGTGAGGCGTTGAGTGATATCTAAGAGTTCGAAGAAAATGATCATTCAAAACTTTTTCGACAGCCAACAAATAATTTGAAGTTTAGTTATGGTAATTTTGCATCTTTCATTGGCCATTTTCTAATTTGAAAATGAAGTTTAACATCCATAACCGCAGGGCTTTTATTCTCTTAAAGCCACGATAAAAGTTCTTTTCGTGACAATAAAACTGGGAAACTTTGCTCTGAACTCGGGATGCGCTTAATCCTGTGTACTAAAGCTTGAACCCATAAATTTCCTTTAAATTTCTAACTTCCACGATCAGCTTTTGGTCAACTGATTCTTCTTTTGTTTGCCACCATGCAAAACGTGTGAATGCGTTAACTTACCTGTCAATTTTGAATATAGCTTTCACACTGTTTGAAAAGCAGATGTTGTTGTGTCAACACACATTATGAGTATGATTTTCGGAAAAAAACGTTTGAGTTTTATTTGAAAGTTTCTTAATTTCGTTGCTGCAGGTCATCGCGGTTAGAAGGAAAAGAGTTGTCTGGAGATGAAACAAGGGTGGCCACTGATACTAAAACAGAAGTGATACTGGGGCGGAATCGCCACAAATTTGTTTTTCTTTAGCTCCATTCTTCTATTCAAGATACGGGAGTTGTTACCATGAACGAATCGTTTTGTAACCAGGCAGAGTATTTTCCTTCGTACGCCGACTTTGAAGTTCTTCGTTTGACTCTTATTGCCAACAGTATCTTCAACAGTTTTTCAATTTATACCGCCATCATGTTGAACATTGTCACAATCTGTGCAATACGGAGGGCTTCAACCTTGCCAAAAACTTTGAAAACTTTACTGACAAGCCTTTCCGTTTCTGATTTTTGTGGAGGTTTATTAGGCCAACCCGTTTTCACTGCATTTCTGGTCACCTGGCTACGACTGATCGATCCTGATTGCAACGCTTACTTAGTGCTGAATATTTCTGGGTATATATTTGCAAGTGCTTCGTTCCTGGGTGTAGTTGCCGTAAGTGTTGACAGGTTCCTCGCCATTCATTCACATTTAAGATATCTGGAACTTGTAACTCCATTTCGTGTCGCTGCTGTGGTGATCTCATTATGGTTGTTTAGTGCATTTCTCTCTGGTATGGTACTTTGGGCTTCGGTCAATGCTCGTGATATTATTATCTTAGCTACTATAGCTTTTGGTTCAGTTCTCACTATTGTGTTGTATCTCAAGATATATTTTACTGTTCGACGGCACAAGAATCAGATCCAGTCTCTACAAGTGTATGACATAAGTCAGTCAAGAGGAATGACAAATTTGGCCGGTCTTATCAAATCTACTGTCGGTATATTCTACATATATCTGTTCTTTTTACTTTGCTATTTGCCCTATTTTCTTTCCATCATTATAATCAAATTTCATGGACCGAGCATCACTTTGAAAAGATTTTATCTTTTCTCAGTAACTATTGTGTATCTGAACTCATCGCTGAACCCTGTAATTTACTGCTGGAAGATGAGACACATTCGGCACGCTATCATGGACATACTGAGGAACATGTCTTGGAATAGAAACCGTCCTCTGCATTCATTTTACAGGCAGTCGTCTGGGTAACTAAAAAGTTCCATTGACAAATAATTCACCAATGCAGGAGTCACACAGTCCCCACGCTGTTCTCCATACATTTCCTAGGGTGCTGACAAGGAGAAGCTATTTTACCATCAATATTTTATCTCAGCCGATGATCATTTTCAGGGATGGCGCAGTGGTGAAAGCACTCGCCTCCCACCACTGTGGCCCGGGTTCGATTCCCAGACCTGGCGTCACATGTGGGTTTAGTTTGTTGTTGGTTCTCGTCCTTGCTCCGAGGGTTTTTCTCCGGTTTTTCTCCCTCCGCAAAAACCAACATTCCAAATTCCAATTCGATCTGGAAACAGTGGACAAGAAGAGCCACCCAGTGGAGTGTCCATTGCTAAATTATTTATTATTATTTATTATTTATTATTTATTATTGACTTGAGCGACAATGAGATTGAAAGTGAGTAAGTACTAATTATAGACTCCCCCGAAGGCGGAGATTTCTTCACAGTATTTTCAGCCGGAAACCTTGCTTTGTTACATCTTCGCGCTTTTTATTTCCATTTATGGTTTTTGTTGCCAAGTAAACATACAAAACTTGCTGAAAATGGTGAAAACTCACTAAGCACTCAACCTCGAATTAGCGCCCACTTCGAATAAACGCCTGTTCTCAAGGTAAACAAATAACTGCCCAGGCCGTTAATCAAATAAATATAGTATTCATGAAAGTTACTTAAAGAGAGCATAAATCAACGTTATCAATTATTTAAGATTACCAAACGATATGTGTGTTGGTTTTCGTCTCTCTAAATTTTGAAAAATAAAATTGTGTAGATTTCGTTCTGAACCTCGCCTGAGTTGCAATTTTTTTCATTTTAGCTGTAGTTCAGCCGTGTATTAAATACTTTACAAAACGGAAAGAATACATTTTACTTATACGACGAACGTCACTTGCATTCAAGTCAGACTTGATGGAAAATTTAAATAATATCCGTTTTCGCGTTTGACTGACTTCAAAGTAAAATCGCTTCTTTTTCCAAGGTGACCATAACCTGGGGGTGATTTATTCTGAAAATAGAAACTGAACACAAACAAAGGTCAATTATCGTAAATCGTGACTTTATTTTATTGGATGCTTGTTTACCTTACGAGGTATCCTCCCAAACCGCTATATTGAAGGCGAACTACCTCAGACTTAGTTTCCAAAGAACCTGTGGTGCTTCGTCGGTGGGGGTATAACAAGATAATTTGGTTTTACCAACCAAGTTAGTGATGTAAATTGGCCACCGTAGAGATTTTCTAAAGCTGACATTCAGCTTTAGAAAATCAGCTCTTTGTCAGCTCTTTGTCATAGCGATTGGATAACATGTCTACCCAAAAAATGTGTTTAACAATTAGACAAGTACATCTGTGACCCGTCAATGCGCTCTCTAATTAAGATTCATGATATCTAGCCAGCATAGAATGCTCGAGAAACACTTTCCGCTTTTGAATAATAGCAATAAATTATCTTAATACTGGTATTTACAGTATTAACTGACTGATAGCACTGCTATCAAACTATCGTTGATTATTAATCCATTAAATTTTGTTTCACTCACGATTGATCAGTTTTGATTGTTCTAAGCTGGAACGGTTTTAGTCCTGCAAATGACTTAGGTAGGTTTTTGAAGGCGCGTAACATTGTTATGCCACCTGTCGTTTAGAATTATAGCCTTTTCAAACAAGCGGAAGTTTTAGCGATATCATCACAATTTATGCGATTACACTTCTTAGCTTCGTTTCTCTGGGCACAGGTCATCGCCTCAAAAGTTCTAGAGCGAAATAATTCTCCACGAAAAAAAAGAGAAAGACTGAAACTGAAATAAGGGGATATTTTGTTGAACAGAAGTTCCCATCTCTTATTCAAGATACACGAGTAGATATCATGAACGAATTGTGTTGGAACGGGCCTTTTCAGTTTTTCCCATCCTTCGACGACTTCAAGGATCTCCGTGGGACTTTCATCGCCAACTGTATCTTCAACGGTTTTTTAACCTATACCGCCATCTTGTTGAACATTATTACCATCTACGTGATACAGAAGACTGCGACCTTACCAAAGACTTTGAAAACGTTACTGACGAGTCTCGCTGTTTCTGACGTTATTATTGGTTTGGTTGGTCAACCAACTTACATTTCATTTCTTGCCAGTTGGTTTAAATGGGGCGATCCAAGCTGCAACGCTTACCGATGGCTCATGATTTCCGCTACCTTATTTTCTTTAGCTTCGTTCCTGGGTGTTGTGGCTATAAGTGTAGACAGGTTCTTAGCTATTCATCTTCATCTCAGATACCAAGAACTTGTGACTCGCACACGTGTTGTTACTCTGGTTATCTCAATTTGGGTGTTCAGTGCATTTGTTTCTTTGATGGTACTTTGGGTCTCTGTCAGTATTTATACTGCTATTGTTGCAGTTACTATAGTTTGTGGTTTCATTGTCAATATCGTGGTGTATATCAGGATATTTTTAATTGTCCAACAGCACAAGAATCAGATTCAGTCCCTGCAAGTACTTGAAACATCTCAGTCTGGTGAAATGACAAATTTTGCAGGTCTCATTAAATCAACAGTTGGTGTATTGTATGTGTTTCTCGTGTTTCTAGTTTGCTATCTGCCGTGCACTATCTCTGTGGTTGTTATTATGATCAACGGTCCGAGTATCACCTTAAAGAGATTTTTTCTTTGCTCATTGACTCTTGTATATCTGAATTCATCTCTGAACCCTGTAATTTACTGCTGGAAGATGAGACACATTCGGCAGGCCATCATGGCTACAATGAGGAACATTTCGAATAGAAGGCGTCCTTCGCGTTAATTTCACAGGCAATTTTCTTAGGGTTTGTTGTCATAGTTATTGTTTGTTATTAACTTTCTGGGTTACTAACGGGATGTGTCACGCAACACAAAATGACTGGGAAGGCGTTACAAATTGGACGAGAATGAAATTGAAACATTTAAACTCAATAATTTAAATCTGCATATGGAGAGAATGCAAGTTATTAAGTTATAATGTTATATATCAAGACATTTTCCAACAGCACAAGACTCAGATCCAGTCCTTCATATTACAGGGAGTTGCGCAGTCTCATTTGGATTGATAAAGTGTTGTTATTGTGTACGCATATCTTAAGTTTTTCAGCTGGTTATTTGCTATACGTTGATTGAAAGGCTGCCATGAAAATCAGTGGCCCGAGTGTTGCGTCAAAAAATTTTCATCTATTCTTGTTAACTTAATTAACGTTTCTCACTATTCAAGAGCATCTCTCACATAACGTTCTTTTTTCACATTTTATGATCTTCGTAATGCACTCGTCTTTAACTCTTAGTAGGAAATAAATACAGTAAGAGTTCAGTTGTCTAAGACGTGAATTATTCTGGTTTGGTGCTTGAATACCTCACGAGTTAGCTTCCCTTACCCGTGACAATTATTTAATTGCATCGGTGACGTGTGAATGCAGGAAACAAACATCTTCCGCTTTAATAAAAGTTCTGTTTGACTTTGAAATAGCCAATATAGTATTTTAATTTGTCCTCAAATTTTGATATACAGACAGGTAATGCATATTAAGAAAATGATCAACTTGCAGATATGGCCCTGTTATAATTCCGAATGATGAACGAATGGCAGTGTATGGCTTTCTGTAGTATTTTCCCTCTTCTTCCGACTTAAAAGGTCTTTATTCAACTTTCATTGCCAACTGCGTCTTTCATAAATTCCTGACGTATACCGCGGTCATGTTGCAACGTCGCAACAATTTATACGATGTGGGAAACTACATTGTTGCTAAAGACTTTCAGAGCATTGATGCTGAGTCTTGCTGTCTCTAATATTAGCGTTGGTTTATTTGTTCAACCATTCAGTACTCGTCACTTCTGGTCAATTGGCAGCAACTCAATAATCCCAGCTATACAACTCACCGACTTGTGACTCACAAGCGTGTTGTTGTTGTGGGGATCTCAATATGACTTCTTCGTGTTTTTTTTCTCTAATGAAACTGGGGCTTTCTCTCAGTACTCGGAACATTATTCTTTTAGTTATCTGTTGTTTGTTTCAGTGTTACAGTCGTCGTGTATATCAGGACATACATGTATGTAACTGTCCAACGGCAAAAGAATCAGATTCATTCCCTGCAAGTCCAAGAAATTACTCAATCAGGCGATTTGGCAAATTTTATTGGCCTAATTAAAACCACAATCGGTATATACGACATATTCCTCGTTTCTTTCTTTTGCCTTTTATTTGCCTTTATTTTTAAGGTTGCATTAAAGATTACTGGCTCCAGTATTGCTTTAAAAAGCTTTCATCTTTTCTCCGTAATTGCTGTGTTTTTGACGTAAGGTTCAAGACATCCCGTTACGTATTTCGTTTCAGACCGAGGACCTTTACCTCACGACGTTGAGGGATAACTTATGACATCTTCCTCCACCTTAAAACCCTTCACTCAAATTTCATTGTTAATTGTTTCTTCAGTAATTTCTTGACCTGTATTGCGGTCATGTAGAACATCGCGACAATGTAAACGATACGAAAAACTTCATTGTTGCCAAAGACTTGAGAAAATTGCTGCTGAGTCTCGCTGTCTCTTATATTGTCGTTGGTATATTTCTTCGATCATTTTACCCATCACCTCATATCAGATGGCTGCGACTTATCATTCCGAGCTGTACGACTTACCGAATGTTGATTTATTTCGAAAAAGGGAAGTCAGTAGGCGAGAATTGAACACAGAAAATAATGTTAATGAGACACGGTCGCTATCTCATATCAAGCACATGGAATATATTAGAGCCCGCAAAGAGTCATGGTTAATTATGTGCAATACGGGCGCACTCGCTAATACATCAACATCCTTCCTTGTTTAAGTAAAAGAAAAACTTGTAAAGATTACAACAGCTAAGAATAAACTTTCAAACAATATTAAATTCAAACGTTCAAAGTCTCATTGAAAAATGTCATGTCTACTGTGCAAATAAACAATGTCAGGGTAACTGACTAGTCCTTCCGACTTGTGGTCTTTACTTGGTCTCGTAATATTTGAAACGGATTGGCGATTTTATTTCGCGCCTTGGTCGGTTGGCACTTAGTGACCGTCCAGAACTGTCAATAGGTGCAATGTTCTCATTCACGCTACACGGCTGGCTGTTTACTACTAGAGGGTCTGTGGGTGGGTTACACACTTGTGGAGCTTTCTCTGGTAGTATCAATGGTGTCACGTCAAGAACACGAGGTGGAACAACAGGGGACAGGTCTCGAGCCTTTGGTGTAATGTTAGTCGGTCTCATATGCACACGATTTCTTCTGTACGTTTCTCCATTGGGATCACTGACTTGGTAAGTTAGGACCCAGAATGTCAGTGACTTTGCCTAATTTCCAGTTGTGCCCTTTGGTGTGTTGGAAAAACACTGACTGTCCCACATCTATTTCTGAGGGTCTTCGGGACTTCTGGTCATGAGCTTTCTTAATACTGCACTTGCGTGCCTCCCGCTTCTCTTTCACAAGGGGGTCCTTTGGGCTACCTCTTATGCTAGGCAGGAAATTACGCGTTCTTCTGTTGAACGTCATTTCTGCTGGACTAAAACCAGTGTTTTGACAAGGGGTGTTTCTTTGCTCTAGCATCGCTTCATAAGGATCACATCTTTCCTCATGGGTTTTCACGAGAAGAGATTTCATGATTTTAACGGCAGATTCTGGTTTTCCATTGGCTCTCTGATGCATTGGTGATGAAGTAATTTCCCTTCGTACGCCGACTTTGAAGTTCTTGCCATTAGTGTCTTAGCGATTTTTTAATTCATACCGTCATCATGATGAACTTTGTCACAATCTGCGCAATACGGAGGGCTTCAACCTTGCCAAAAACTTTGAAAACGTTACTGACGAGCCTCGCCATTTCTGATGTTTTCGGAGGCTTACTTGGCCAACCAGTTTTCACTGCATTTCTGGTCAGCTGGCTGTGACTGAATGATCTTAGCTGCAATAGCGCTCTCTACTGTGCAGAGAATTTGCATTTGCATCGTTCTTAGGTTTATTGGCAGTAAGTGTTGACCAGTTCTTAGCCATTCATTCACATTTAAGATATCTGGAACTTGCGACTTCAAATCGAGTCGTTGCTGTGGTGATCTCGATATGGCTGTTTAGTGCATTTATCTTTGGTGTGGTATTTTCGGCTTCGGTCAGTACTCGTGATATTATTATCTTAGTTGTTGTAACCTTTTGCTCAATTCTTCCTTTTGTGTTGGATATACTTTACTGTCCGACGGCACAAGAATCAGATCCAGTCTCTACAAGTGCATGACGTAAGTCAGTCAAGTGGAATGACAATTTTGGTAGGTCTTATCAAATCTGCAGTCGGTATATTTTATATATATATCTGTTCTTTTATACTTTGCTATTTGCCCTATTTTCTCTCCATCGTTGTCATCAAATTTTGTGGATCGAGCATCGCTTTGAAAAGATTTCATCTTTTCTCGGTAACTCTTGTGTAACTTAATTCATCACTGAACCCTGTAATTTACCGCTGGAAGTTGAGACACATTGGGCGCGCCATCAGGGGCATACTGGAGAACATACCTTGGAACAGAAACCGTCCTCTGCATTCATTTTACCGGCAGTCCTCTGGATGACTAAAAAGTTCCTTTGACAAACATTTCTTGGCCTCTTAGAACAGAGGCAATAAGGACATATGTGAGTGTAAGTGAACATTGAAACTGAATTTGTCGCTCACAGATTCGACAGCTACGATAGGGTGAAATGAGGACAAGCGAAAATGTTGCTGAAACTGACAGATATGATGGAGCTGAAACGATTTGCATGTGGAATTTTGAACGAAACAATATTTGGGTACGATGAATATATGAAGTTCATATATTTTGTACTGCGGTTATAGATACATATGATGCACGATCGTCACAGTAGAGAGCGCTATTTATGCAGTAGCGAAAATCAGACCTGAAAAAAATCAGGCCTGTACGGGATTTGAACCCCTGAACTCTGCGATACTAGTGCAGCGCTCTACCAATTGAGCTAACAAGCCAACTGGGAGCAGGCCGTTAAGTTGATTCGTAATAAACCCGTTGTGATAAATCAGATACGATGAATATATGAAGTTCATATATTTTGAACTGCGGTTATAGATACATATGATGCACGATCCTCGCAGTAGAGAATTTGAGCGACAAATTCAGCTGCACTAGTATCGCAGAGGTCAGTGGTTCGAATCCCGTACAGGCCTGATTTTTTTCAGGTCTGATTTTCGCTATTGCTTAAATAGCGCTATCTACTGCGAGAATCGTGCATCATATGTAAAACAATATTTAATGATAACGAGACAGAGTGGAGTCCAATTTGGTCTGTAATCAAAAGAGTGATTACAAAATTGATTTGTTAAACACTAGTAAAATTACTAACCAAATATGACAACACGAATTCTAAAATAAAAAAAAAGATTCCTCCATTTTAGAAATTCCCCAGTTTTGTGGGGTAAGTGGTTGTTGCTATGGTTATTGTAATTAATTCTCTGATTGGTGGATTTAGCTGAGGTGACTTCAGCTAGTATGATTGGCTGTTTGACTGTCCAGTTACAGATGTCCGATTTTAGCCAACTGTTGGATTACGCTATCCAACTATAACTCTACAGAATAACTAGGGGGAAAAAGCAGTTAATGCACCAATCACATTTGAGGAAATTGTAAGGAATCTCTAACCCTTCACGTCCAAGCATCAGTATGCATATTCCCCATACTGTTCTCCATGCACTTCCTAAGGTGCTGAGAAGGAGAATTTGTTCAACAATCACGATTTTTTTCTCAGTCGACAATCATGTCCTTGTTCTTTATTCCCATGAACTTTATGTGTGTTTCAGGGGTGATATTTTAGGGTGTGACTAGATGCTAGTCACTTAAAGTGGTAAAATGGTTAAAGAAGGAATTATGAATAACCATAAAGGGCAAAGCTTGTTGAAAACGTGAGCTTTTTTTATTATTACTGAAAGTTTGCTTGTGGCCGCAATATCAGTACTCATGAAATCTACGTGAAGAGAATATAAATTAACGTTATTAATTATTTAAGACTACCAATGAAACCACATCTGTGTTGGTTTTCGTCTCAAAATGTTTGAAAAGTAAAAATTGATAACCCAAATTGTGTCCATTTCCTTGTGAAGTTCACCTAAATCGCAATATTTTGAGTTTTTAGCTGTAGTTTAATTTCCTTTTATGTATACGACAAACATCACTTGCATTTG